CTTTAAAAAAAAAAAAAAAAAAGAAATATGAAATATTATGATAAAAGTGACAGGTCACAAAATGTGCTCTCTGGTACATTTTCTGTTTCTGTGTAAGATTTCACAAGGCTTTCAGACTATCCTCATTTTAATAAAATAAATATGGTCATAAGCTTGAATTTGCATAGCTTCTTTGAGGGATTTTGGAACCTAAACAATTAAATTTAATATATCATCATTTCCCTTTGTGATATAAAGGAACCATTGCTATTTCTTTTGATACAGACCTATAGAAAAAACAACTAAGGCAAGGAAAAATTAGAACCGATATAAGATCACTGTAAAGAGTTATTGTTACAACCTCACCACTGTACAGGTTCTTTCTATTTCTTTTCTGTTTTTATAAAAAGGAGTGTATGGCTGGGTCTTCATGGTTTATTAACGGAACTGTTTAAAACAAAATAAACAGTACGTAAAGATGATAGCTTTATTGAGATACAATGCACATACCATACAATTCACTCAAAGTGTACATTTCAGGGCTTTTAGTATATTCAGACAGTTGTGCAACCATCACCACAATCAATATTAGAACATTTTCATCCCCCAGAAGAACCCAAGTACCCATTAGCAGTGACTCCTCTTTTCTCTCCAACCCCACTCCCAGCTCTAGGCAATCATCATTCTCTTCTCTGTCCCTATGGATTTGCATTTTCTGAACATTTCATATACATGGAATCATAAAATAAGTGCTCCTTTGTGACTAGCTTCTTTCATTTAGCATAATGTTTCCAAGGTTCTTCTATGTTACTGTATCAGTACTTCATTTCTTTTTATTGCTGAATAATATTCCATTGTGTGAATATATCACATTTTATTTTTCCATTCATCGGTTGATGAGTATTTCTGTCATTTCCACTTTGTGGCTATTATAAATAATGTTACTGTGAACATTTGTGAATGTAACTTTAAAATATTAGATCTTTCAAATCAGTTTTACCTTTAATTATCCCTTTTCATTACTTGAGAATAATCTGGTAGTAATTGTCTAGAATATGAAGTAAACTTTGCTAATAACTTCTTTCAGTTGTAAGGAATAGTGATGGTGGCTAAGTAGATGGTTGATCACTGCTTGACTGTTTTTAGTATAAACTGTTAAATTCATTACATTGGAATTATTTTTTATAAAATAGATATTTGGTGCTTGAAAAACTGAAGAAAGAGGAAGCTGACCGGATTCATATATTCAGTTCTTTTTTCTATAAACGCCTTAATCAGAGAGAGAGGAGAAATCTTCATGAAACATCTAATCTATCGTAAGTCAAGCTCTTTGAAAATATGTAACAGATGTAGTAAGCCACTCATATTTAACTTAGTAAAAGATTTCTTATTTGTGTTGAGGAAACATCATTTAATTCTATTATCAATTAGCAAAATCAATATAGTCCATAATATTATAAAGCCTCCAGAATACCTGTAATTCATAAAGGTTTTAGGTGTAATATCTATCTAGATCAGTAGATATATGCCTGATAGTTAAAAAAAAAATTACTTGGTTACTTATTAAATACAGATTGCTCTGTTTTACCCTAGATGTTCCATCCATAATATCTAAGAGAGGAACCTGTGAATCTGTACTTTTAATAAGTTCTTTGGATGATTCTTCTCAGACAAGTTAAGGAAGTACTGTTCTACATATTAGGCCTGAGTTATTTTGTTTATAATTCTTCTCCACATAGTGATGGCATTCAGCTCTAATACTTGCTGATAATTGGTCAGAAGATACACACAAAGAGTTGGTACATTTTTTGTCATAAGTGCTATTAAATGTCTTGAATTAATGGCTGCCGTGCATAGTATAAATAATGTTTTCTACTATTTCAGTGATTCCTAATTTTGCATATTAGAGTTGATGATAGTGATTGGTTTTGACCAAGGCTCATAGTCTGTCCTGCTTCATCTACTATTAGATAATGCTCGCTTTTCTTGCTCTCTTCTCCTCAGTTATCGTAGGTCATGGTGTGATACACTTCTCAATATAGCTGTTAGGACCAGTTCTGCAATAATAAAAATAGTAGTACTGGTCCACCTTACTATGTAGTAGCAGAAATTAAATATCTCTTCCTTCCAGATTCAATGATGGGCAGTTTCATGCCTTGCTAGCTCCATCTCAGATGTTCTGTTTTCTTTCTCCAACTTGTTAAATTATCTTATACAACTGTTTGATCTGTTAACATCTTAATCTTCATAATTTATATTGCTGCATATAAGCCAAAGCCCTAGAAACATTTCAGAAGCTTGATAGTTTATCTCTTGTCTTTCAGAATACAGCAGAAGCGACATGGGAGAGTAAAAACATGGACCCGGCATGTAGATATTTTTGAAAAGGATTTTATTTTTGTACCCCTTAATGAAGCGTGAGTAAAAATTTCCTTTATGTAAATATGATGGCAATTTTTAGAAAATGTGTTTATGATGATGAATTCATCCATTTTTAAACTTTTTCCTGAAATTTGTTGGATATATCTATAATTATACTACTTATTTTATGAAAATTCAGTTTTTCAGTGAATCATGTAAGATGAATTTTACGAGCACTAGACAAGAGATCCTTCTAATTTCATTGTATTGATAATTGTGGAGTTATGTCATTTTACAAAAATGATGCTTGTGGTCTAGCAGACATCCTATAGAAAATCATCTTTCATCCTACGGAAAGATGATTAGGTCACATAGAAGAATTTGAATCTTTAGTTTAAAACACACTTTGGCTCTTGACCAAAAAGAAGACAAGACGGCTGGATTTATGCCATTTGTTCAAATTGACAAGCATGCTGACTACTTGAAGCTATTTTCTGAGTAAATGAGGGTGGTGAAACATTTTGTGTTATTCTCTCCCCCAATGACTAGAGACGCGTTGATGTATAGGATAGCATTATTATACAATTTAGACACGAGAGTTTTTGTATTTCATTTTTTTCGTTGATGTCATAATACTTTATAACATTGTGAAATTTTAGTTGTACATTATTGTTTGTCAGTCACCATATAAATGTGTCCCTTCGCCTCTTGTGCCCACCGCCCCAACGCCGTTCCCCCTAGTAACCACCAAACTGTTCTCTCTGTCCTTGTGTTAGTTTATCTTCCACATATGAGTGAAGTCACGTGGTGTTTGTCTTTCTCTGTCTGGCTTATTTCACTTAGCATAATACCCTTCTGGTCCATCCCTTGTTGTTGCAAATGGGACGATTTTCTCTTTTTTTATGGCGGAGTAGTATTCCATTGTATATATATACCACATCTTGTTTATCTAATCATCAGTGGATGGACATTCGTGTTGCTTCCATGTCTTGGCTGTAGTGAATAATGCTGCAATGAACATAGGGTACATAAGCCTCTTTGGATTGTTTATTTCAAGTTCTTTGGATAAATACCCAGAAGTGGGATGGCTGGATCATAAGGTACTTCTATTTTTAATTTTTTGAGGAATCTCCATACTGTTTTCCATAGAGGCTGCACCAGTTCGCATTCCCACTAGCACTGAATTAGGATTCCCGTTTCTGCACAACCTCTCCAACATTTGTTATTTTTTCCTTTGGTGATTATAGCCATTCTAACGGGTGTAAGGTGATATCTCAGTGTAGTTTTGCTTTGCATTTCCCTGATGATTAGTCATGTTGAACATCTTTTCATGTGCCCATTGGCCATCTGTATATCTTCCTTGGAAAAATGTCTGTTCATATCCTCTGCCCATTTTTTGATCGGGTTGTTTTTTTGTTGTTCGGTTGTGTGAGTTCTTTATATATTATGGAGATTAATCCCTTGTTGGATATATGTTTTGCAAATATGTTCTCCCAGCTGGTGGGTTGTCTTTTCATTTTGATCCTGGTTTCATTTGCCTTGTAGAAGCTCTTTAGTCTAATGAGGTCCTATTTGTTTATTTTTTCTTTTGTTTCCCTCGTCTGAGTAGACATGGAATTTGAAAAGATACCTCTATGACTGATGTCAGAGACTGTTTTCTATGTTTTCTTCCAGGAGTTTTATAATTTCTTACGTTCAAGTTGTTGATCCATTTTGAGTTAATTTTTGTGTATGGCAAAAGGTAATGGTCTACTTTCATCCTTTTGCATGTGGCTGTCCAGTTTTCCCAGCACGATTTACTGAAGAGACTTTCCTTTCCGCATTTTATGTTCTTGGCTCCTTTGTCAAAGATCAACTGTCCGTAGATGTATGGTTTTATTTTTGGGCTTTCAGTTTTGTACCATTGATCTGTGTGTCTGTTTTTGTGCCAGTACCATGCTATTTTGGTTACTGTAGCTTTGTAGTGTATTTTTGAAGTCAGGGATTGTGATGCCTCCAGCTTTGTTCTTTTTCCTCAGGATTGCTTTAGCTCTTTGGAGTCTTTTGTTGCCCCATATAAATTTTAGTATTCTTTGTTCTATTTCTGTGAAGAATGTCGTTGGGATTCTGATTGAGATTGTATTGAATCTGTAGATTGCTTTGGGTAATATGGACATTTTAACTATGTTTATTCTTCCAATCCATGTGCGTGGGATATCTTTCCATTTCTTTATGTCATCATCGATTTCTTTCAATAATGTCTTATAGTTTTCCTTGTATAGTTCTTTCACCTCCTTGGTTAAATTTGTTTGTAGATATTTTATTCTTTTTGTTGCGATTATGTAAATAGGATTGTCTTCTTGAGTTCTCTTTCTGTTAGTTCGTTATTAGAGTATAGAAATACAACTGATTTTTGTAAGTTGATTTTCTACCCTGCAACTTTGCTGTAGTTGTTGATTATTTCTAATAGTTTTCCAATGGATTCTTTAAGGTTTTCTATGTATAAAATCATGTTGGGGGCTGGCCCTGGGGTGTAGCGGTTAAGTGCGAGTGCTCCACTGCTGGCAGCCCAGTTTCAGATCCCGGGCGCGCACCAATGCACCACTTGTCAAGCCATGCTGTGGCAGCGTCCCATATAAAGTGGAGGAAGATGGGCATGGATGTTAGCTCAGGACTGATCTTCCTCACAAAAAAAATAAATAAATAAAAAATAAAATTATGTCGTCTGCAAACAGTGAGAGTTGCACGTCTTCATTGCCTATTTGGATTCCTTTTATTCCTTTTTCTTGCCTAATTGCTCTGGCCAAAACCTCCAGTACTATGTTGAATAAGAATGGTGAGAGTGGGCACCTTTGTCTTGTCCCTGTTCTCAGAGGAATGGCTTTCAGTTTTTCCCCGTTGAGTGTGATTTTGACTGTGGGTTTGTCATATATAGCCTTTCTTATGTTGAGGTACTTTCCTTCTGTACCCGTTTTGTTGAGAATTTTGGTCATAAATGGATGTTGGACCTTGTCAAATGCTTTCTCCAATAATGTGCTTTTTATTCCTCGTTCTGTTAATGTGGTGTATCACATTGATTTGCAGATGTTGAACCATCCCTGCTTCCCTGGTATGAATCCCACTTGATCATGGTGTATGATCCTTTCAATGTATTGCTGTATTCAGTTTGCTAGTATTTTGTTGAGGATTTTTGCATCTATGTTCATCAGTGATATTGGCCTGTAATTTTCCTTCTTTGTATTGTCTTTGTCTGGCTTTGGTATCAGGGTGATGTTGGCCTCATAGAGTGAATTAGGAAGCGTTTGGTCTTCTTCAGTTTTTTGGATTAGTTTGAGAAGGATGGGTATTAAATCTTCTTTGAATGTTTGGTAGAATTCTCCAGAGAAGCCATCCGGTCCTGGACTTTTTTTTGAGGGGAGGTTTTTGATTACTGTTTCAATCTCTTTACTTGTGTTTCGTCTATTCAGATTCTCTTATTTTTTCTTGATTTGGTTTTGGGAGGTTGTATGAATCTAAGAATTTATCCATTTCTTCTAGATTGTCCAGTTTGTTGGCATGTAGTTTTTCATAGTATTCTCTTATAATCCTTTGCATTTCTGTGGTATCCATTGTTATTTCTCCTCTTTCATTTCTAATTTTGTTTATTTGAGCCTTCTCTTTTTCTTAGTGAGTCTGGCTAGGAGTTTGTCAGTTATGTTTATCTTCTCAAAGAACCAGCTCTTTGTTTCACTGATCCTTTCTACTGTTTTTTTGGTTTCATTTTCATGTATTTCTGCCCTAATTTTTATTATTTCCCTCCTTCTGCTGACTTTGGACTTCGTTTGTTCTTCTATTTCTATTTCTATTTCTATTAAGTGTAGTTTAAGGTTGCTTATTTGGGATTTTTCTTGTTTGTTAAGGTGGGCCTGTATTGCTATGAGTTTCCCTCTTGGGACTGCTTTTGCTGCATCCCATGTGAGTTGGTATGGTGTATTTTCATTTTCATTTGTCTCTAGATATTTTTTGATTTCTCCTTTAATTTCTTTGGTGATCCATTGGTTGTTCAGTAGCATATTGCTTAGTCTTCACATCTTTGTCACTTTCCCAGTTTTTTTCTTGTAGTTGATTTCTAGTTGCGTAGCATTATGGTTGGAAAAGATACTTGTTATGATTTCAATCTTCTTAAATTTATAGAGGCTTGCGTTGTTTCCCAACATATGGTCTATCCTTGAGAATGTTCCATGCATGCTTGAGAAGAATGTGTAATCTGCAGTGTTTGGATGGAGTGCTCTCTCTATATATATGAAGCCCATCTTGTCTAGTTTTTCGTTAAAGTCCACTATTTCTGGGCCAGCCCGGTGGCTTGGAGGTTAAGTGCGTGCGCTCCGCTGCTGGCGGCCCGGGTTCGGATCCCGGGTGCGCGCCGACGCGCCGCTTCTCCGGCCATGCTGGGGCCGGGTCCCACATGCAGCGGCTGGAAGGATGTGCAGCTGTGACATACAGCTATCTACTGGGGCTTTGGGGGGAAAATAAATAAATAAAATCTTTAAAAAAAAAAAAAAAAAAAAAGTCCACTATTTCCTTGTTGACTTTCTGTCTGGATGATCTATCCATTGATGTAAGTGGAGTGTTAAGATCCCCTACTATTGTTGTGTTGTTGTTAATGTCTCCTTTTAGGTTTGTTAATAGTTGCTTTATGTACTTTGGTGCTCCTGTGTTGGGTGCATATGTATTTATAAGTGATATGTCTTCTTGGTGAAGTGTCCCTTTTATCATTATATATTGCCCCTCTTTGTCTTTCATTACGTGTTTTATCTTGAAGTCAACTTTGTCAGATATATGGCAGCACCTGCTTTCTTCCTTGAAGTCAACTTTGTCTGAAGTATGGCAACACCTGCTTTCTTTTGTTTGCCGTTAACTTAGAGTATTGTCTTCCATCCTTTCACTCTGAGCCTGTCTTTGTCGTTAGAGCTGAGATGTGTTTCCTGGAGGTAGCGTGTTGTTGGATCTTGTTTTTTAATTCATCCCGACACTCTGTGTCTTTTGATTGGAGAATTCAGTCCATTCACATTTAGGGTGATTATTGATATATGACGGC